ATTATGAGTCTCATTATTCATGTTCTAAAAGCTCCTGAGACAACTTTAAGTTTATCCCTTGTTGGAGACACACTATAAATTTATAGTCAATTTTCCAGTTACCATAGTAACAAATCTGAATGATGAGGTTAGAAACAACTACATTGGGTAAGTAACATTTCATGATGACATTTTTATTGCCTTGTAAAAAGCTTGGCAATGAAAAAATAATTCAAACTTTCCTGAAAAAAAATGTATGAGACATATAAATAATGGTTTGTCTAGCGAGAGTTTGAAATTAAATATAGATCCATTTCCTTTTCTTTGAATGAGCTTAGTGTTGTTGTTCCTCAGTAAAGGATTGTTTTGAACTTTCCTAAAAATAAAAATATAGAGGATGATAGGAAGGACGTTGTTGTTGTTTAAACCTTTGGCCTCATACAACAGTGAGTTACTCAACTTCTTGCTCCATCTAACAGTCATATATAGTGGTGAGTTACCGTAGGGAGACTCTAAATCCATAATATCCAGCTATATATAACGATGAGTTAGGGAGACTCTAATACAATAATATCCAGCTATATGTAACGATGAGTTAGGGAGACTCTAATACCATAATATCCAGCTATATATAACGATGAGCTAGGGAGACTCTAATACCATAATACCCAGCTATATATATAACAATGAGTTAGGGAGACTCTAATACCATAATATCCAGCTATATATAACAATGAGTTAGGGAGACTCTAATACCATAGTACCTAGCTATATATATAACAATGAGTTAGGGAGACTCTAATACCATAGTACCTAGCTATATATATATCAATGAGTTAGGGAGACTCTAATACCATGTTATCCAGCCTCACATAACAGTGAGTTAGCTTCTATAATATTAAAGTTAAGTTAAAGGGCACTGCTACTAAGAATGTGTTCTCAGCTCAAGGTTGTCATTAAAGAAATCTGAATCATATATTTGACATCTAGCAGGAATTTCTAAATAACAATTAGAATAATTAAAATATAAATCATATATAAACTCAGGGAGGGTTGTAATTGAAAAGGAATGGCTTTGTCAATATTTAAAATGCCAAGTCTAAATTAATTTTGGGAGTCGAGAATACTATCCTGTTTTATATCTATGATGACATTTAATTATTTTAATAAGATTGAGTTTATTATGTGATTTTGTTAAAAAAGTGCATATATAAGTTAATTAATGCTTAATATCTTGCTGATATTCTCTGAAAGCAATTTCAAATTTCATCATACTTTATAGACTTATTGGCATGTTTTATTGAAGTCTTGGGACGATATGAAATAATTACTATACGTTAACATTTTTATAGTTTTCAGAGCATCTGAATGTTCATGAATGTTTTTTCTTCTTATTTAATCAAATTTTTTATTCTGACATTTTATAATTTTATTATCTGAACACAAGCAATTTAATTCAAAAGAAATTTAATTAAATTGATGTTATATACTGTTTTTTAAAATGACAAAAAATCATTTTATTTTAATTACATACATTATAAAAATATAGGCAAGTTGGAATCATTTCAGACTTTTCTTGATCTATCTTCTCTGTAGTGTCAAAATCGTAACATTTTACCTAAAACTAGGGCAAGGACTAGTGTGAAACATGTCTAATTATCAAAGTATTGATTCAGTTTGATACAGTAGATGGCATTGTTTGGTATTATAAAGGTGTTATGAATTTGAAAAAATGGGTTACCTTAGTTTACTACATTCCTTGATTTCAGAAGGAGGATGTTGCCATGGAATCTGATTGTTTAGTTGATCTACAAGCTTTACACATTTCAAGATGTAACAGGTCATAGACCTAGATACGTGCATCCATTATATGCTACTTCTTGAGATGACAATAAGGAAGTTAGTATTACTTTGATATCAGAGTCAACTAATAGTAGTCTTGTCTAATGAAATTATAGGATGGTACTGCCAGCTTTTCATGTCCTAATTTTCAGTTAGAATACTGTTGTCATGACAATTTCTAGCTTCAAAGAATACAATAAAATTTTATCGCTTGCATTTTTAAAAAGAAAAACAATTTCTCATTATTAAATCATCAATATTAAAATTTTCTATGATAATAGAATAGAATACATAATGAAATATTAATTTAGAAATTTGTATCATCTACTGAACCCCATTAAAACTACTGAATAAATAAATAGGTTGAATGAATAGGGAAACATGAAGCATTCTACAGTAGATTATAGGTTGCTATGAAACAATCAAACATGGTTCTCCAATCTGTGGACAGCGCCCTCTAGAGATGATTAGTTCAATTAAATAACATGACAAACACACATATTGCTTGTAGGAAACTTTTCCCATGTTTACTGGCTATTTGCCAATTCTGATGAAATGTCCTTGAATTCTTTTAAGTCTTTTGAATTTGATATGAAACTGTAACTTTCTATTTTGTGGTGCAAACAAAATGGATTGCTGGGATTTGCAACACACATAATTGTCTACACTTCACTTCAATTTCTTTTTGGTTTTATGTGAGGTTGGTTGGTTCATTTCTAACAAAAAGACAGACAAGAGTGACAGTTTTACTCATAAAATAAACTGTTATTTCATCAATTTTATCACAACATATTTTTGCTCATATAAGACATTTTTGGAATTCTTCAACAGAAATGTCTTTTTTTAAATCAAATGTTTTTGTCTTGTTTTTACTTATTTATTTATTTACTCTCAAACATTGATGATTTTTTAATCAAAATATCTCACGATGTTAGTTTCCAAACTTGTACTATGGTATTTTCGAGGGCAAATAATTAAAAAGTAGTTTTGTTATGTTTTTGTAAACCAAAATAAAAAGGTTGTGAATAAAAGAAATAAACACACAAATACTGAACGTGTTGATACTAGTAACTAAGCTTACTTTAATCCCAGTATACATACTAGGGGCGAGTAGACTGAATGGTTACTTAAGAACACTTTGTGCAACAATTTACTTAAATTTTGTGTCTATTGTTGGTATTCTCATGACTATATCTAGAAGGCAAGTCCCATAGTTAGTGTTCGTTTTCAGACCTAATTTTGCGCTTAAAACTGATACTTTGTGCGGCACCGCTTTTCTTTTTACTGTCACAACAGTTGATTGTACAGCCGTGCATATCGTGTTACTTTGAAATGGACCAGCGCACAATAAATTCAACTTACAATGTAACTTTGGCTGTTACAATACATGCTAGCAACTGTTTACACGTTGTTCGTTTCTCAAAATAACAAACCCTGGTCGTGGTTACACCCAAACTATTATATCATGACTGCATTTAACACACGTCTCGCCCTGTACTTATCAACTTACAGAGATCCTTTGAAAAGCTTGGCTAGGAATTTCTTTGTCACCAAAAATTCCTTGTACTCCATTAAAAATACACTAATACCATCGCTGTGGCAATCTACTGCTTCATAAAGTACCAACGTCTTTTTATTTTCTTTTGTTAAAGTTATTAAGAATAGCCTGTTTACAAAAAAAATGGGCAGGTGTTGTTTGGCGGCAAGATCAGTCTGAAAATTCAACAGGTCTTTTGATTGAGATGAAAGTAAAAGTTCACAAGTTCAAATGCAACAACACTTATCAGGATATGAAAGCAAAATCTGTCTTTTATTCCTTCAACCAGAGGTCCAATATAAAGTTTTAATTCTGCGGAAACCACTTGATAAGTGAATTGATGAAGAAATAACAGTGTGAATGAGTGTCATGGTTATTCTTTCCATCTAGAGACAACTCAGATCTGATTACTTATATAGTGGTTTATCAGTAAAGTACATAAGAACAGAATTAGTGCTTTCATTTATATTGTAGGCAGTGATTCAGGAAAAGATATATTACAAATATCTACCATCTCATACTATTATGTAACATATTACATAATTACATGCTGTTTATAAACTGATTTGTTTTAATTGTTGATAATTTTAATTCAATTTTGTCCAAAAAATCAAATATAATTAAGACTACTATAAATTCATTCAAACAAAATGTTTTTAATTACTTATTGAAAATTTATTTATTTATTTATTCAAATAATTGTTTAATTTGCAAAATTTATTTAATCAATAAGTTCTCTAAATATATTTCCGTTTAAACCATCATCCATTTTAGGTATATTTATAAATTAAACTTCATTAAATAAATCTTCTTAAATGGAATAAATTTATTTCAGATGCAAAAAAAAAATGATTGTACAACTGCTTTTAAGCGGGATAGTGTAGTTATGATAAAAGAATGATCTGCCCATGCAATAATGGTAGTATAAAGTATAGTGAAGTCCTAGCCTGTCCAAAATAAGAAAATAAAACTTGTATGAGCTTCAATATGTTTTTTTCATACAATCAGTAAAAGTCATGCAAATACTTCATCATGCTATGTCAGCAGATTTGTATTCTACCCCAAAAAGGTCATTGAGTCATTTTGCAATATATGTTTGTTGAGAAAAATCTTTTCTTTCCTCATTACAAACATGTTGTTTGCCTCATTTTGTGTTGTAGTATGGTGTTATATGGTCTTTTTTGTTTGGTTTTGAGCCTTGGTGGGTTTACACATACTGAGAATAGAAGGCAGTAGAGATAGCCTTTCTGTCTTTGTCTTGTTTAATCATTAACTATACCACTACCTTGATATGCAAATACATGAGGTTCATTAATATTCATAAGTACTGGCTTTTGTTCTGTTAGTGATACACACAGTGTACACAATAGGCAAGAGCTGTGTTGGTGGACCTGACCAAAATATTTTAAGGGGAGTTTCATATACTAGATTTTTGTAAACATGATCATAGGAAGTGAAAATTGATGATATTTATATGTGTTTGGAAATAACTTCCTGTTTTGGGGTTATTAGTTCAAGGATGACTCATGTTACAGTAGGTGTATGGAGAAGTTGTCCCTCAAAAACATGAGCTGTTTCACTCTTAAACTGTAATGGTTCCTTCCAATGATCAGTCATTGAATGAGGTTAAATCATTCAACAAAAAGCCTTGTCCATTGACACAGACAAGCTGAAGCTTGTGAAGGTGTGTGTAATATAGCGGATTTACTGGTCACTTTGGAGCCTTGTGATTGTATTTGTGATTTTACCAAGAGCTACGAGCAGACAACAAGTGGACGATAGTATGAGTGTAAGTTACATTATGTATAAATATTAGCGTTTAGTAGCTACATGAAAGGTGCATTGATACCATGTGACCAGTCAGAACACAATGATCTAGACTGCTTCATGTTAGCCATGTACGGCGCGCTGTGTGTACCTATGGGCCTCTATCTCCTCCTACTTGGTGCTCTTTATTGTTTTATTAACAGCACTAATGTCCTAACAAGCCCGTTCATTTCATGCCAGCTGATTGTCACTCGACTCAGATTGTCAACAATTCAATCAGCATGCGAGCAGTGCGATTAGTTTTGATATGTGTATCCGTCATTTTTAACGGCAAGTACACTGGGTACGATTATCACTCATGACAGCAATCTGCTGTGTTAAAAAAAACACCAACAGGAATAATCAAGTAAAAATAAAGATGAGACACGTTAAATTAATCAGCTTCAATCGGCTACTGTTCCTACAATGTTGTGTGTTTTGTGTTGCGAGTGAAGTCAACAAATTAATGTGACCGGTTATGGTTTTTGTTGTCTTTTTTTTGTGTTGACCCGGCCTTGGGTGACTTTTTGTAAGAGTTAAAAGTGTCCCTCTTGTTAAAGACCAAGATCAGAAACAAGTTTCAATGCCAGAATTAATATTTAGCTAGCCCCAACTAAAAGGTGAATCTATGTTGAGTGTTTTATTGTCCATTTAACAATTGACTTGAACCGTATTTGTACAAATTGTCAACTGCTATGTTGCTCAGTATTTGGTTTGGTTGCATAGACAGTACAGTACTGTATAAGGCACCTACACTCTATCACACTTTGCATATCAATTCACTAGTTTCTAGTACAATAGGTATACGTAAAAGAAGTCTATTGTTACAAAAGCAAAGGCTGTATTTCTAAACACAACAACCCAGAGTGGCAAGTCACTGCTGCAGCAACCTGCTCCGCTGACTTAAAAATTGAGGTCACCGTTTGGGTTCGTGAACAGACAAGCTTTAATTTGAGTGCATAAGTCAATTTTTACTAGAGATTCCTGGCACCAATCCCAACCAGTCCTATAAGATCAAAAGTTCAGATAAAAGTCATTTGCATATACAATTGAGCAGGCATGTCTTTTCAATATCCCAAACTGTTAGAAATATAAATTTGACAGTTACAAAAACAGTGTTATTTGTGTCTCTGTGGCCACGTTTAAAAGAATTCACAAGCAACTGCACTCTTAGATAAAAATCAAGTCAGTTATCATGCTGTGATAATATAACGTGTATATAACTGGTGAGTAAAAGATTAAGTTCATTTTAAAAGCTAAAGTTTTCTAAAATCAACAGCAGTGAATTGTGTGGGTTTTAGATTTAGTAAACAAAGGATATATGCTGTCTATTCATCTTGCTTTCTTTGGTTATGGGACAGTGAAAAGTTTATATAATTTGTCCCACTGAATGTTGGTCTTAGTACACATCATTTTTGTGCTTAATAAGTGGTAAAATTAAAATTGGGTGATAAACACAGTGCCTTTCCCTGGTCTAAGAATAACTAAATTTGAGATTTTATGTAGAAGAGGATGTTGGTGAAACCTAATAAATACAAAAATTAATAATTCCCTTGCATTTCTTTAAGTAGTAATTTTCTTGCCTCTCCCAATTTAACAATTTTTAGAATAATACTTCAGGTAAATCCCTTATTTTGTACCTAAAATCAGTTAGTTAATAATTGTTTGTGACGGGACAGTCTTATTTTCTACCAAAAACAAACAAACAGAAGTTCCCTATTCTGTCCTAGTTCTAAAAATATTTTCAAGATTTTATCTATGGTTAGAAAACCCTTGAAATTAAGGAAGTATTAGGATGAACCTTGTGTTATTGAGCTGAGACTGAAAATAAGGACCAGTGTTTGTAGAACTTGACAATTTCTACTTTAGAAATTTATTTCTAACCATGTTCTGTGTAACAGATAGTGCAAGCATAAAAATAAATGACTGACAAATTTAATATATTTATTGATATTTTCATCCAAAATGGAATATAATTTAGATTTGTGATTTTGTTAACTGTAATGAACAAGTGAACATTCATAACAGGTATCAGTTTACTGGCAGCTTTCTAGTTCAGTAAACATGTTTCCATGACGACATGAATTGACACATTTGTGAAACTGAAGGGGAGTCTCATGTTACCGTCTTCATTTGTTAAAAATGATGAGTTTGTTTCAAGAAAGATATCACTTACCTGGTCAATTCCATGATAGCAGGATGTAGGGATTCCAACTATTTTATATTCAGTAGTTAATTTTCACACAAGTGACTTGTGCATTTCCTACAAGCCCCTCTGTATTCTTAATTCTATTAAAACCAGGGTCAAACAGGTTAATAAGGTAAATCAATAAAAAAATAACTGCTGTTCCACATTTGCTGTTTGTCAAAAATTTGTTTTTGTGTTTGCGGTCACAAACAGCAAGCAATCAGCTTGTTTAGTATTAGAATTGTGATACGAAAAGATTTTGAAATGCAGTTAGATAGATGAGATCTTAGTTTAAGGTTTTTGATGCTCTGTTATCATTTGTTTTTTAAAATGTGTCAGATAGGGCTGTAAGACCACTGTTAGAATCATGGTAATACACTAATATCCCGGTGTCAACAAAGCTACTGGGCCAAACCCAACCACCTGCGAACCCTAACCAGTGTTTTATCAAAATGACTAAATCTCAGCAAGTGTCTGGTACAACACCCACCTAGGGAGTTAGTTGCTTTTTTTTCATGTTCAACACTAAAATCCTATTGTGATTAATACATGCCAAAGTATTCACAGGCTAACACATTTAAATATCTGAATGTGCTAAAGGGCTGAACAAAAACGTTTTTGTTATCCGTACCATAATAAAACAATAGACTAACTTCTAAATTATAAACTGATTTTTAAATCTGTGTATTTGAGTGCTAGTGAATTTCCAAATAGTGAAATTTGAGTGAAAATTATTGATTTTCCAGTATAAGCAGGTATCTGAGCAACTGTACGAACCTAATGAATTGTTCTTGTACCAGGTACGAACTACTTTAAACACCTAGATTGAATAAACAGTTTTTCTAATTCCATCTTATCTTTTTCGTAACTATTTTATTAGATTTTATTTATCGTTTTTTTTTTTTTTTAATTTATTAATATTATATTTATTTTTAATAACTGACATTCATACTTAGTTTGTTTCAAAACTTAACTGTACTTAAAACAGCAATGTTTCCATAGCAGCACTTAGCTGTGTTATGTAATCATTCAGCACTATTACATGTCCGTGATGAGTGTAACCAACTACGTCTACATATGATACAATAATCCAGTGCACTGCAGGTGCTTGAATACCCAAATATTCGTTATACTGAACATGTGTATTTCTAACAAAACCATCAACTTTATTCAGACTTCATGAATTTATATCTGTTATTTGAATTTCACTATAAATATGCTTATATTTATAAAAAATACTGTGTTAGTGCGCAAGTTGTGCCTGATAGTTAACATTATGAATGTCAATATAAAATTTTGGCACCAGCAACAAAATTATTTTGTACAGTTCACATGAAATGTTGATAAATATTGACAATCCTTATGATGAAAAACTGAAAGTAATATCTGTATAGTAAAAATGTTGATGAAATTTGGTGACAATTTTACAAAATGTGAAAATATATACACTAAATTCTTGTGTCACAACTTATGGTACCCACAGGATAGAGGCACTATCTCATCAACAAGTAATGTTTTGATTTTTATACAGATCGTTATAGCAATCTTAGTTTTCGACACAAGTCATTGCGAGCCTTCCTACTTTGAAATAAATAAATACAGTTGACTGTGAAACACCAATGCACTTACAGCATCAGCTGAGAATGATTGCCGATATTGTCCATTCCAAGGAATCGCAAACTTTGCCATATTTAGTTCCCATTATGCTGATGTAAAGTGTTCATGCCAGTTAAGTATTATGCAATAGTTGTGTTGTGCTGATACCACCCTACCAAAGGGGCTTAAACTCTGCCACATTATGCTGGCATAACATGATCTGTTTTTCTCTTGCTCGTAAACGTTTTACAAGAATAAGAATAAATAGTGTGTTTTTCAGCAAACACACTCTAAGCCATATAATCTTTATATTTTGAAGATTTTTTTAAAATCATATCACTGGTTGAAAAACGGTTTACACATATTATTGTGAACAACACTGTTTTTATATTTGTCTCTATTTATGTAGCACATACACTAACAGACTAACATAAAAATGACAGCCATGTATAGTTATATCTACAATAAATGCCACTTTTGGATTATTTGCATTTCTATTAAAAATGTACTCCTAATAGACAATTACGGATCTAAATTGTGGTTGTGACATTGAAACATTTTCCATGGTCATATTGTGTTTAAAGTACTTGATTATAGTATTACTATATAGTAAGTGTTCATAAAATCATGTACTTTCCTTTGATAGTCATTGATAGTTACCCTAATCATACCTGCTGACTGCAGGCAGTGTAGACTCTATTGATTCCATAAAAGTCTGATACGTACAAAAAGATTTCTTGATGCTATATTTTCATCTTTGGTATGGTAATAATAAGATACTTACAGAACATTCTCAGTCAATTGTTTCAATTATGCAAATTTTAATTATAATATGCACATCAAATAATTAGAAATTTTTTTTGTAATTAATGACAAACAAGAGTATTTATTTTGTTATAGAGATGTGAAAAAAAGTAAAATAGCAATGTTATATATAGCTGTTTGTCACACGCTGTACTATGTAATGTCCCCAACCATACAATGTACATACAACTTGATGTATAACTTACATGTAAATCTCTGTCTATATTTGCCCTAGTACTGGTAGTACTGCAAGCACTCGCCAAAATATAGTTAAAACAAGTGATCTACCGTAGTTTACAATACATGCTACATCTACATGGGCCTCTATTGAAGATTTGCTTCTAATAGAGAAAATGCGTTGGTTTCGTAAAGTTTTAAAGCTAAACTTGACTGCA